TTAGTTAAATAAGTAGTAGTTACGTTTGCTTAGTCAGACATGAACATTAAGATTTTAGAAATTGGAAAAACTTTATTGACAATACAGAAAATTTTCTTTTAAATTCCATTGATTTTTGTCAACGTATGAAATAATTCACAATTATGGAAAATGATTGTATTTATTTTTCACTTACTTTTTCAGAAATTGTCTCGTTGGAAAGGCTTATCACGTGAAAATTTCTGACTTTGGTACTGACAACGAATTATATGCTTGTGATTACTACAAAGTAGATGGCGGCATACCATTACCAATAAGATGGATGGCCTGGGAATCTTTAGTTCTGGTAATAAATTAAAATAATTTCTTAATACTATATAACAATTATATTTTCATAGAATTTCTTTATAAATAATTTAAATCAATTCGTTCGTTCAAAGCTATGAAAAGCGAATGAACTTAAGTATCTTTGTAAGTCTAGTAGTATGTAATCTGTGAAAGACTTGCAAATTACATTATCTATAATAGTTCTTTCTATTTTAATATTATTATTATATTTTTTTAATATTCTCATTAATATAATCAAATTTCAATTACTTTGGCACTTCTTTAACGTTGATTAAAAAAAAGTTTTGAAATTGTACAAAAGCTTGATAATTCTGATCTTTAATTACAATCATCTCTTTCTTCATTTATCCATTTGAAATTTTCTTCATAATTCATGTATTATTCATGCAATTCGGAATATACATTTATTCGTTAATTTTTCCAAAAATTAATATATTAATTTCCTATAGAAAAAAGATTTCCTATAGAACAGCTAATTACAATAGAATTGCATGAGAATGAAATTTGAATAAACTTTTAATACACATATCATTGCTTTTAAAGTCAAATGTAAAATGATCAAAGGGCTTATTATTAATTAAGACTTCGTGATTAGCACGGCGACGTTTTCATCTATAAAATCTGAATCGAATACATAAACTTTTAGGGAAAATACACGACCAAGAGCGACATCTGGTCATTTGCTGTGACACTGTGGGAAATTTTGAATTTGGGAAGGCGAATACCATACGAGCATTTGAGTGATCTCGAGGTCGTACGATATTTACGTCGTTTTTGTCACGACTGTGCTGCTAACGACGATGCATCGCAAATTAAAAGCAGCGAAGAAGAAGACGGGGATGACGATGAAAGCAGAAAGGTAAGACGAAAAAGATCTTTACGTTAAATGCTTCGCCGAAGGATTGAATGGGCGAGTCAATTTGTACAATCATATCGTCCACTTTCACATCAATTATACAACATACTGTACTGTTATAATGCATAGATAATATGAAACTACCGAGAGAGTTTTTTTTTTTTTACTGTTTATTAAAAAATGTCGAATTATAGGATAGTAAGCAGCAGTGGTGCAGCCTTATGCAATTTTATTGCCGACTTTATATTTATTATTTCTATTATGTTGTTGTTGTTGTTCTTCTTCTTCTTATTATTATTATTATCATTATTATTATCATTATTATTATTATTGTTGTTGTTACTATTATCGCTGCTGCTGATACTACTATTGTAATTTTTTTCGTTGTCGTAGTCGTTGTTGTTGTTGTGCTTATTATTATTATGTTGCTCGGACTGAGCAGAGTAGCGTGTAGCTTTAAGGGATCTTGTGCTGTTATAACGATTATCGTACATATAAATAATCATTTGACATAAGTCGAGCGCGGCAATCGCGTGCAGAACATTGAAAATGATATTTCACTAGCTCTCACGATTTTCTAGATGGGCGTTGCAATCGAGCAGCTGCCAAAGCCAAGCGCCTCCTCCAAGGACATCTACGACTTGATGCTCGAGTGCTGGCGCAGGGACGAATCCGAGCGGCCGACCTTCCGTGAGATCTCACTCTTTCTCCAGCGCAAAAATCTCGGCTACGCGCCAACATCCTGATACTGAGATAAGGAGTTCAGCGTATCCGCTGATCACCAAGTCACGGCTAATTACACCGTCGAGATCGACGCGGCAACTTCTTGATCCGAGATGCAATTTTCTGAGTACGACTTCTTCATTCGTCGAACGAAAATTTAAAAAGACGATGCGCTTGGAATTTACATTGATATATTTTTTAACATACTGATTTAGTTAGGACGTGTACATAAGAATTATGTTTAATTGTACTTTTTTAATTAAATGTCGCCATTGATTCGACGAGTGCGGATATTATGATGATAATTCGGTAATGGGAGCGAACATTGGTGCGTGTAGGTAAATTACGATATTGGATAATTAGGAAACGTAGACATGTTGGCGGAAATATGTCGTATTATACGATACATCGCGCACTTAAGGATTTTAGTGGCGTACTTTCGATTTAGCTTTCTTCGCAAATGCATTTAATTATGAAAAGTATGCGTTGATTTTATCATCAAAACCTTGATTGAGATTTTCAGAGATTTATTTTTCATAGTGCTTTAAATGAATAAAATTTAAGGAAGAAGCAGCGAGGTTGTACGTACTCAATTGTAATAAGGGAAAAGGAAAGTTTTTAATGAATTGAAAGGACTTTCTGCATATGTAATTGTAAGATATGTCGGTTAGTCGGATTTGTGTAAACTTGCGAATTGATAGTTGTGAACATTCCTGCGTTGGTGAGAATCACCCAAACGTGTTAAAATTTATCGAGACATGACATAATGTAAAATATAATTCGAATCCGATGGCACTCGTTCTTCAGGTATTATTATTATTATTATTATTATTATTATTATTAAAAGGCGTTCAAAATAAAGGTATTTTTAAAGGTATTATACAGTAGCATTCGCCAAACATATGTGTGTGTGAAAAAAAAAAAAAAAAAAAATTGGTAATAAGTCAATCGACGTCATGAATACGATTATTTCACATTATTCGAATGCAAAAGATTATCATTTCAATATAAAACTAAACGATCCAGAGTTTGTAAGAGTTTATTATGATTACGTGTTAAATAGAATTTTTTATCGCGTTATTAACGAATTCTTGCTATACACGTAAAAGTTAAAAAAAAATTAGTTTTAAAAGGACGTTTTAATAGTTCAACGTATAGCTGTGCTTCTTCATAATGAACACGAAATATAAAAAATAAAAAAAGTACGATCGTATTAAAAGATAACTTGGAATAAAAATTTATTTTCAAATTCGTGGGACAAAGAGAAAAAAACATAATCAATACGTCAATATTTTTATTAATTTTCCCCGTTTCTTTATCAATATAGGATAATTATTAAAATTACAAAATAAAAAAAAAAGTCAAGAAATGATTCTAGAAGAAAATGTATAAAAATATCGAGTGATTACATATTGCACTGAATAATAATAATACTACAGCTATGACACATCATAAAGTTAAATGTATGTAATAGGCGGGATCAATGAGAAATTAGCGAATTGATTGTAAATAAATATAGATATAAAAATATACAGGTTATATTGAAATGAATGGTATCCCCATATATTTAATTCTGGCGTCATCTTTCCCTCTCGATGATTGTTTTGTTATATCTGCGAGAAACAATATATATCGTATTTTTCGTTTTATTCAAGGAAAAAAAAAATGATATCACGAGACGAACGAACACAGGGCAAAAACGAAAACAAAACATGGAATAACGAAACCGTTGACATATCGGATACAGTAAATTATTTTTTAATGACAAGCGCTACTCATATGGTATTGAATCTTATAAGCATAAACGGTTCGCGTACACCCATACATATATAATTAGTCGTAAGAAATGAATTGGTAATTCAATGATGTACACTAGAACAAAAATACTTAAGGATCAAGAATACACGTGTCGACTGTATTCTTGGAACAACTAAATACATTAGAAGATGTTACCGTTATCACATTAAAATATTATTTATATAATTCAAATACTATCTATGTAAGAGGCATGGATAGTAGGTCAACATACACACAAAGATATGTTTCATACACAGAGTTCCGTGGCATGTGTGTAGTGCACCCATGCACGCATGAATGCATGCGTGTGTATATAAATAATTATATTTTACGGGTACGCATAAGGCTGTCTTTGGCTGAAATTGTTGACCCTATCTGCTCTGTAACAAGTAAGAAGTGTGTTAAGATAAAAAATCATTTTACATTATAAATAACTTAGGAAAAATAAACTATCGAATAAGTTATGTTTCAATAGACAAATGCGACAGTGAATTATTTATTAATATTATTGGAATACATCATACATAATTGTAAATCTTAATCTGATAATTAAAAAAAAAAAAAAAATTAATAATAATAATAATAATAATAAATAATAAATAATATCAATATTAACATAACTAGAATGATAATTGTTAATTAAATTATAAATACAATATTTTTTCTACGACAAATTTGTTCCCTGTATATTTTAATTTTAACGCGAGATAGAAAATGATGTGTAAAATAAATAATTTATCGAACATGTTAATGATTTTTACGTAACATACTTCTTAATTTGTTTTCTCATGTGATAATTTGTATATCTCTTGGTATATCAACTGATCAACTTTTATTGCCTAGAATTATTTATCAATTCTATCATCATCGCACATAAGCCAAAGGTTTGTCACATTTGTCAAAAAAGTTAAAAATTAATTCCGGTAGATGCTTTAGTTTAATCTTATCTGTACTTCTCTAACCATTTCTCTCGCCTGATTAATTTTTATTATTATAATTGATACGATGACGCGCGGGCGCTCTTGCGTAGGTGTGCGAGAGTAGTTGCGCGAGTACGTCGGCATGGTGGGGTGAGTAAGTCGAAGTGCATTGGTCAGTGTGCCCTGTCCTATTAATTATTCAAATCAATATTATTTATCAGACTATGGAGTATTTTAATGGTAATTGGAACAAAAATATGAATATTATAATTTTATTTTATAATGAGTTTCAATACTAAGTTAATCCTTAGAATAAGACATTTTATTAAACAGCTTATCTTATATCGCGTAAATTCGTTTAATTAAGAGAAAGTTTATAGGTCATTCAATGTTAAGAATTCTTATGTATTAACAACTGTTTCCAAATTACAAAAAATAGAATTAATTTTTTTCTTCTTCTCCAAATTTTCACGTCAATTTTTCCATGAATAATAGATAAGAAAATATTTAATTGAATAAACGCTGAATAATATGTATTTATAATGTTGGCCTATAAATTTATTAGAGCGCACCTGTATCTTTGTTAGAATTAAACGTTCTAAAACTTTTTCCAATCGAATAGAAATCTATAGATCTATTCCTAACTAACATACCATGGTTCCGATGTATTTTAACATAAATGTTTAAATTAACTATTTTCACTAGTTTAAATCCTTTATTATGTAATATTTATTCACTTATTTGAATTTGTTACATAACATGGAATAAGCCTTTCTCTTCAAATTAAAATTGTTATGTGCTTCGAAGAATTTATCCCAATCAAGATATTAATCAATCATGAAGCTTGAATTAATTTTAATTTTTTACTTTTATTAAAAAACATTTATTAATAGACTGTGTAGAAGGTATTTAAATTTAAATTCTTCAATACGATTGTTTACAAGAATATATCTTGAAAAGGATAAATGCTCTTTGATAATATATGGCAAAATATAGTTTCTTAGCGAGGCGTAATTAGTAAAATAAAGTTATCTTAACGTAACATAATCGTAGATGTATTTTGCAAAAAACTTTTTCCACATTTAGGTTTGTATGTCCAATCATACTAATACCTTAGAATAAAGCATATAAAGCTAGCTCGTATTCATCAGATGAAAAGCCTTGGAATTCACTTTCGAATGACAGCTTTTCTATCATCCCGTGTTATAAGAAAATGTGGAGTAATTCTCATTGCCCTTGATGTGCTAATCTACAATCGGGAAGAACCGGGATGTTTGTAGCAATCATATTGCGTTGCTAAATTTAACCACCGCATTGGTATGTTGACAATCGCGCTTGAGCCTTGAGACTGAAATATTTCTTTATTGATGTAATATACTCCATATTTGATATTAGTGATTTGTTTCAAATGATTGGATTCCTTAGAGAAGTATAAATCTACTATACAAAAATACAAAATAAAATATATATATATATATATATATATATATATATATAAAAGTCAATTGGTAAAAATTATTTCAATTGCTTTGTCCAACCAACAAAATCATTAATGCTCAGATTGTATTGAGAAGCTCTGCAGTTTCTTTTCATTCAAAAAAAGTCAAGAATTGAGATCGTGTAATATTGAAAGGAAATGTGAGACATTTTACTCATTGTACTATTTTCTAAACTTTTTGGAGCTACACTCTTCACTGATTATCAAATTATTTTTTTTTACTCATACCACTTGTTTATAAGTTTGTACGTAGTTAATGTAAATATATTAACGAACTAATCATCTACGCCCGTTATAAACAATTGTGTGAAAGATCATTTGTGATTTATTGGGGGAAAAAAAAAATTTAAAATAAAAAAAAAAAATTATACTTTAGGAATATAATGATATGTACAACGACGTAGAAACTAAAAAGTCTGTATATTATAATTCTTAAACAACTGTTACTAGTTTAATACGTGTGTACATAAATCTAATAGATAGTAACTAGTCACTCTTGACGCCTTTTTGTATTTTGTAATTTGTCGTTTAGGTTCAACAACAACAATACATTAATAGTCTAATAAATAATTCATGTTATTCTCGAGGATTGCAAACTGGTTATTAATTGAAGCAGTTCGTAACGTTTAATGAATTACGTATAGAAATTGGAGACAATGAGTCAACTTATGCAATTTTGTATACAATGAGTATGCAATTTTGGGCTTGAAAATGCGCTGAAATAGCTCCGGGGAATCATTTTACGTTACGAATAACCAGTTCTTTTATAATTATGGCAACTGTAATATTGCGAACTACTTGTTTTGTAGTTAATATCATATAAGTAAATTGATACAATTTGATAAATGGTGCTTTGCATGATATCATTAAGAACAGCTCGAGTGATAGTTTGTAAGTTAAATGACTAGTGTGGGAGAAGGGGGAGGGAGAAGACAGCAAGTGCGCGTAAGTGGGAGAGCGTATGAGAGAAAGTGAGATTGTAAATCAGATAAATTTTTGTGTTTTACTTATAATAATTAATATAAATTAGAATACAATCTTAAGCAGTGAATCGCTTGTTTCAGTAATAATGCGCGTGGAGCAATATTAAGGTATTTAGAAGACATCGATGTGAATTCATGAATCCTCGACAAATTTTTTGCATATTGTAATATTACTTTTTTTTTTTTTTATACGTAGAAACTTTGCTTAGATACGATTAAACAATAGCTGCAAATTCTTTCGTTCATATAAATAATATTTTATTACAGAGTATTATAAATCTTTCAGTATTTTATTACTGAACAACATTTGGTAAATGTATATTCTAGGCGATTAGAGAGAGAGAGAGAGAGAGAGAGAGAGAGAGAGAGAGAGAGAGAGAGAGCGAGAGAGCGAGAGAGCGAGAGAGAGAGAGAGAGAGAGAGACTTTATGTTTTGCTCATAATTAACGAGTCGTCTTCTAATTTACTTTCCCGAATACTGTTTTACTCTGTATAAAGGCCAAAGACACTGAATATTCATTCATCACGTGTGTCTTTAAGCCTTATATCATTGTTATTATGACCGTATAATGTAAGAATTATACATTACGTATATAATAAATTTTGAATTTATAGTAACTTACTAATAACTGAAATGTAATATGCAATAAATATAATGGGGTAATAAATTAATTACTCTAAGAAAAATTGACTTTTTCAATTACATAACATGGACAAGACCTTAGAAAGATAACCAAATTACGGATCTTTTGTATCGTCGCTTTTATTAACGCGTTGGAAAGTTTTGGAAAATTTCTTCAATACTAATTTAATTTAAAGCTCTTTATTAATTTTCACTTTGAAACATTCTTATTATCAAATTTCAATTTGTAAATAATTGCTGGTAGATAATTAAAAATTAAATTGAACGATGAAAGCTAATGAAATATGAATTTTATGCTATTTGAAATCCATAATATAATAGAATATAATTCTCTATATTATTAATAATAATAATAGATACATCGTATATAAATTCGATATTGTAAAATTCTTTATTGTATGAAATTTCTTGTTTTGCAGTATTCAAATGAACACTTAAATAAAATCTCATAATATAATTTTTACGAAATTTCATCTTGAATATTATATAAGCTAACTAAAAGTTATATTTACAAAATTTTATTTCAAAATATTTTTTAATTAAATATACGGCACAATATACATTGAGATTAAAGTAAATTGAGTATTGAATATAATAAATTATTTTAATTAAAATATATATTTATTGCAATAATGGCTTTAAATACTTTTGCCATTAATTAACAATAATCACTTTAATTAAATAATTGTTTGTAATCATTAAAGTCATTTAAAACAAATCAACGCACGATAGATGCATATTTTATGCTGTCATTCATCCTTTTATTGTACATACATACACTTTATTACGATTCTTGTAGCATATAATGTAAAATTGTTCCCCTTTCCTTAGCTTCTCGACAATCATCTCTACCCTCTCCCCCTCCGCAGCCACCTACTCCTACCACCACGCCAACCGACCGTAATATTTTCATTTTCCGCCAATAGAGAGTCGCGAATTGACTGCTGTCCGTACATTTCAGCGACATTGTGGTCTGCTTTTATTTTTATAGCCACCGTGTGTGAATCGAGTTATATTAGAGACAAATAATCAGAATCTACTGTGAAACTGAATAAAAACCTCATTAGTTTCAAGAAATGAACTCACGGCTATTTTTTATGTGACAAATGCTTGTAGGGTATTAGTGGCTCGAAATAATGACCTACAACATAAATGAGAAATGTTCGGTTAAGATAATAAAGCTTTATTAATTTAAATTTTATGCTATTGCTTTTTTCTTCTCTTAAATCTTAAATAATTGGTAATAAAGAAAATTGAATGTTTTTACATGGGAATGCGTGTCTCTGCGCGTGTGTACGTCAACACACAATTATGGTTATTACGTAATTAATTAATGTAAAACGGAATTTACATTTTGAATAGAATATTATAGAATGATAATTATATTAAGGAAAGTCATTCCTATTATATTCTTAAATGGATTCTTATTCTTCAGAAATTGTTTTTGCTCTGAAATTACTAAACCAAATGTTGGTGAGTACCTCAATTTTAGAAATAAACATTATTTCCCTTTGATAAACAAAAACTCAAAATTTTATTAAACATGAGTCATCGTACAAAATCATTTATTTATAATGAATTTATGTTCTGCAGCTATTATTGGAGCGGGTATCGGCGGAGCCTCTACATCTCATTTTCTCACTAAATTATTTGACAAAAATTTGAAAATAGATATATTTGAATCCAAAACTATCGGCGGACGCCTCGCAACCGTTAAACTTGGAAATAATGACTTTGAAGCAGGAGGGGCTATAATTCACCCTAGAAATATATATATGAAATATTTCGTTAAATTGTTAAATCTACATTCCAAAACTCCAGTGCCCGACGATACATTTGGAATTTGGAATGGCAAGGAGTTTATTTTTAAAGAAAGCAATTGGAAAGTAATTACGTTGTTGAAACTTATTTTTAGATATGGATTGCAACCAATTTATCTTTACAGATACGTGGGTAGCATATTAAATGATTTTGACAATATTTATAATCTTCAAGAACAAGGCATTGGTTATGAAAATGTAACTGCTCTAATCAGTGCCATGAACGAAAACTTGATAAATTTAATGCAAGTATCGATAAAAGATCATTTGCAGAGTTTGGGTTATGGAGAACAGTTAATAAATGAATTGGTTAAGGCTACGCTCGTTGTCAATTACGGACAAGATACAAATGTTCAAGCTTTCGTTGCATGTGTGTCGATAGCAGGTGCAGGCTTTGATTTGTGGTCGATCAAAGGTGGCAATAAAGAGGTAGTGTATTCTACTTTTAATTATAAATAATGATGTTTTTGTTAATAACAGTTTTAAAACAATAACTCGAGAATTGTAACTTAAAATTTTATTTATATATTATCTTTCTTTTACATATTTAAATCAATAAATACTCACACCCGCGCGCACTCCCACACACGCATATATATATATAAATGTGCATACACATATTGTTATTTAATTATGTTGATTATTAATGCTGTTGTACATTAATATTTAGGTACCATCTCGTTTGATCTCTAATAATGAGATCGTTTCAATAATATATTCTACTGTAAATAGAATTGATCGTCTTCAAACGGAAGATATGCCTAAATATGAAATATTTTATAAAGAAAATGGTAAGGTAGTAATTGCATTTTTGTATGTTGTAAAATATAGTATTACTAATGATTTCAGGAACTGAATCTATAACTAGTAAAGTTTATGATATTGTTATTATCGCCGCTCCTATGACAAGTGATCAAGAATCTTTAGTGACTTTTAATGGCTTTAAGAGCTCGGATGTTCAATTTTTGGGAAATTATCAAACAACGTATGCCACTTTCGTAGCGGGCAAAGTAAATTTCTCCTATTTTGGAAGTAAAGAAACATTCAGCGGAATTATAAGTTGTAATCCAGTTGACACTGTCATTAGCTCAATTGGAAAATTAACCTCTGTAAATGGTAAACGAGACAAAGGAGTCCAAGTGTGGAAAGTATTTAGTAGGCAGAAATTAAACAGTACAATTATCAACAAAATGTTTTCCAAAGTACGTTTTACATTAAATATTGTACTATATTCGATAAAAGTTTAAACACTTTTTTCCACATAATGCTTAAGAATAATACATAAAACTGAACACCTTTCTAATCAAATTTACTCATTTTTAGGTTCACAAAGTTAAAGAAATCAAGTGGAAAGCATATCCTCAATATTCATCCGCGATGAGATTTGATAAATTCAAAGTAGACGATTTCATGTATTATGTTAATGCAATAGAATGGGCGGCGAGTGCTATGGAAATGAGTGCTATAAGTGGACGGAACGCTGCAATTCTAGCATTTACAGATTATAAACGATATTTATCGGATAGAAAATTAACGACAGAAGATCAAACTCACTCTTCCGAACTGTGATAATTGTTACATATGATATTCATAATTATTTATTTACTTCTTTCGAGTTTATATGTTCGAATTAAAATTATTATTTTTTATTTTTTTAATAAATAACAAATCAGAATATAATATTATTGCTGATGACTATGCAAGAATTTTAATTTTATTATTGTGATTTTATTATTATAGTAGCACATCAAACACTATGTTTGAGTAATCTAAATACATTATTATTAGAGTCAAGCACTGGGTACTATGTATCGCAATTTTAATATTATTATTACATCTCTGAGAGAAAATATTTTTATTTATTTATGTATTTTAGTTTAAAATATAGTAAATCAAACGATTAAAGATTCTAAAGAAAAGATTTTTAATAATTAATTTCAAATAACTATAATTTATATTGTTACACACAAATATCCTAATATTATATGAAATTTTATTAATAATATTGTTTCGACATTATTAACGTTATATCTTTAGTTTGCACGAGTCTATTTTATATTTGAACATAAAGAATTAATTCAAAGTAAGTTTTGCCCAATGAATAGCAGAAAAGTTACACGCCATTTTTGTTCCCGAAGTTATAAATTTTAGTTACCTTTGCGCTACTACCACCCTTAGTAGCATTTGTTTTTTGTTTACCTGTCCAGAAATCATAATAGTTTACTGTGAAAATTAGTGAGTATTTCATTAAAATAAAATTAAATATGAAAGAATTGTACATTAAAAGCATAAATACTTTTTTTTTTTTGAAATTCCGGTAATTTTCGAGTACCGACGAGTAACAGAGTATCTCTTATTAGGTTAGTTTACTTATAATTTAAATTATGTCTAAATCTTTTATATGTAATAACAAATAGTATACTTCAATTATTATATTTATTAGTAAATAATAATCGTTTCAAATATTTACAAGAATATTTCGATAAAATAAATTGATGTTATTATACGTCCAAATATTCGAATATAACCTCTTGAAGAATTGAACATTATAGAAAGTTAATAGATAAATCATTTTGAAGAAATTATTTTCAGAAAAAAAAAAAAATATATATATATATATATATAGAGAGAGAGAGAGAGAGTAAAAATAAAAGTACAAAGCGTCATATGGTATCAGTGAATTATTTTTATAAGATATATTTATTTTAATATCTTGTATTATTGAATACTGTATGTAGAAAATATATGTTTACATTGGCTGTTTTAATTGTCTAATTGTTCTTCATTATCATAGGAAATAGTGATTATAATAAAATTACTAAATATTTTATTAATGTAATTTTCATTTCTAATTTATATTTAATTCTGTATATGTAAAGTTTATGTCATTAAGACATATTGTAGAAATTAATAATTATAAACAAGTTTTTTTTTTTAAATTAGAGTTATGATTAAATGCAGGTCTCTTATATATTCTGTAAAAGCTAAATAAAAAGAATGATTCATAATATTAATTATCTTTATCGTTATATTTATTTAGAAAATATTAGAAATATTTTAATAACATATTTTAATATTTTAATTATAATTTGTATAAAAATTTATTTTATGTATTATCAAATGTAAAATTCGAAATAAAGAATCTAATCTTTAATTGATTTAATTTGGTAAATTAAATGTTTTTCTTCAAAATAATATAAAACATTGTTTAAGTAAGTAACTAGAAACTATTTTTTAATCTATTTAAGAAATAAATTAATTTATCATCTTGAATTATCTTCAGTCGGTCACAGAAGTTTAAAAAAAAAAAAAAATATTTAATTTTATCTAAAGTTTTTATCTAAATAAAATATATGTAAATTAAGAACGTATTATTCCATATAATTTAGTTAAAAAGCTTTTCTGAAATTTCTAGTGAATAAGTTCATAAAAGTTAGAAAAGATGTACTCTAGATTTACTTTAAAAAAAGATTTGAAATAATAACAATTTTATATGTACAGTCATTACTTTAATATTAATCATTTGTAACTTAAATAAACAAAATCATAGACATGTTAATACTTTATTAAATTAACAAATGTGTGAACTTCATTAGAAGTCAAACGTTCTTTTATTTTGATTTCATTCCAATTGATTTTTCTTACGTTTTTAAAATATTTCAAAATTTTAATAATTAAAGGATATATTTTGCAATATTTAAATACATTTTTTTTTTTCATTTACATTATAAACAATAAGGTAATTTTCATAAAATTTGTAAACATTATTACTACGTATTAATTATTTATTATATTTAATGAAAATTATAAATTGTTTCTATTTTATTAGATGGAAATTTTTAAATGTATTCAACCTTTTATTTTTATTTAAATATATGTATTTAACCCTATAATTAATTTATAATTAAAAATAATTAATAAGTTTTTATTTAAAAATAAAATAGGATGTAAACAAATAACTTTGCTATTGAAATAGTTAGATATGTAGAATTGAATGAAATGTTTTTAATTTAAAGATATTAACTTTGTGATTCGAATTAGATAAGTAAATAGATATTTACTTATTTAATTATAATTGTAATACGAGCAATAAATTTAAAAATATAAAAATAATAAAAATAAGAAAATACATTATTAATATTATAATTATTTGAAGTACGATCAATTCAGAATTTTAAAATAGTATTGATGGTTTGAAAATTTGTTGCCTACAAGATTTTGAATTATTATTAATTTTCTGTCATTCCGAAGTTCAAGCATTTTACACGTTTAAGATCCACGAATATAATGTAAATATGCATATGGATAAATCCTTCATTATAAATATTCTCTTTTGCAAGTCAATTTGAAGTATGAAAATAGTTAATTATTCTCATCGAATGTATATTATATTAATAAATTAGATTACGAAAGTTTTACCGTATAATAATTACTGATTATGAAACTGTGATTTAAAAAAATAGTTTTTTTATATATAAAATTTCAAATAAGAAATTCAATCCAGCAGTTATTAAATAATACAATCATAAACAATAAATTGCGTAAGTTTTATTTATTTGATAAAAAAATTTGCAATAAATTTTCGAGAGATATAAACGAACTGAATAATGTTTTGAAAAATACAATAACTAAATAATAATGCAAATAAGAAAAAGCAAATAATAAATGTTAAAATCAAGTAAATACATTTACTTACGTAGGCAATTTACTGCTTTAAAATTAATAAATAAATAGAATTTTTTTATTTTTATTTAATTATTATTATATTCTGCAACCTGGCTTAAAATCATTATAATTATGGTAAAAGAACTTTAACAGGTGTTTCATTCTTGTTTTTTACGTGTGTGAAATAGGTATGATTAAAACTGAATTTTGAACAAGCAGCCCACATTCGTGATAATTTCTTTAGTACAGATAAATGTTTGGGTGGAGAGTATGGAATTTGTTGGTTAAGTGTCAATAAACTATGTTATAAAGTGTATAAAAATTATGCTAGAAATAGTAGAAAATTTTCGAGAAATAATTTATATTTCTTGTTTGTGACGGGTCTTTCGTTCATAATTAATTCTCTATTTATCTTGACAATATCAATATTTGACAAAGGGGAATAAAATTTGTTTATAGAATAATAAAACTAAGCTGAACAACCGTATTGATTTTTATTAAAATATTATTTGTATTGTACATATTGGCTCTAAGTTATGTCTGTTCTTGGTCTGGAAGAAAGACACTGAAGAAGAAGTGATGAAAAGTATGATGTCAGTAAAATTAATCACAGAGCTCATAGTTTCACGTAATGACTGTTAGTCGAAAAGTGATTATAAATTTATTAAAAATAGTTTTATTAATGTAAAAATTTTTTCATAGAATTATGAATTTAAATCAAATATAATACGTGCTAGTAACGTGAAAAATGGTAAAGTAAATATGTAAAGTAAATGGAATTGAGTTAACTATTTATAAAACACAACGTGGTATTTCGTATTTTGCTAATAATGGAAAAGAACGGATTTGTGGAGTCTTAAAAATTTTTAAATAGATATAGAAAGAATTCTTAGTGCAACACTTGTCATGTTGAAGAGATGGTTGAAAATACGAGAGGAAAAGCCTTAGAAAAATGTTTTTTATTAAATTTTTAGTTAAAGAAACATAATGTATACTACAATTAAAATATTACGTGCATGTAGGAATTAAATATATAATAGAATATTGAAACCAAATCAAAATACTAAAGGGACAATTTAAAGATAACAGAAAAAAATAAAGCAAAAATTTTTAAAGGAATAAAGCTGAAGTAGCGACGTTTCAAAAATTCTGGACTTGACAAATATTCTAGATGTAAATAATAATTTAACAAAAGTTACATTAAAAAATTATGATGACTATAGTAATTCTAGCATATTCAGCATTTTGATTATCGAGATGCAGAGTTTAAATATATTGATTGAGATTTAGATTGCTTGGCGGTATGAAAATGTTAGGCAAATGATGAGTTTTTTTTTTCGTGGAGCCAATGACATAATGTTGCTTTTATCATCGCCGATTCGCGTTTTATATAATTTCTTGGAAGGTTCTTTCGTATTTAGAACATTATTTTAAAAGATTCAATTAAATTTTAAGAAAAATAATGCGATGAAAGGATTTTCTAACAATGGATTGGAAAATTTATATTATTATTTTCAATATTTAAGTTTTTAATTATAAATTTCTTATCAACTTAAATCAATTTACATCAGTTCGCATTCTTATAAATATCCCATAAACATTTATATTTTAACAACTAGGATAATTATTTTCTTTAAATTGTACATATTGTATGTATCTACAAATGAACTAATAGAAAAATGTTTGCATTGGTAAAATAATAAATTAACCATTTCAAATTTAAATAAGTTAGTATAAATAACATAGAACTGTAATAATTACATAATAAATGACTATTTTATCATGATTCATCGAGGCTTATTAAACTGTGTTTGCATAAATGATACATTAAAATTGGAAAATTCCATTTTATAAAATTTATCTCATAAAATGATAATGCTTTGAAGGAATTCATAATATGATTAAGAACATTTAATTAAGCAAAAAGATGATTTTTGAGTTTTATTTCCGAATTGAAATTAA